GTAACAGAGCCGTAACTGCGCCGTAACTGTGCCGTAAGTGCTCTGTAACTGCGCTGTAACAGAGCCGTAACAGAGCCGTAACTGTGCCGTAAGTGCTCTGTAACTGCGCTGTAACAGAGCCGTAACTGCGCCGTAACTGCGCTGTAACAGAGCCGTAACTGCGCCGTAACTGTGCCGTAACTGTGCCGTAAGTGCTCTGTAACTGCGCTGTAACTGCGCCGTAACTGCGCCGTAACTGCGCCGTAACTGCGCTGTATCTGCGCTGTAACTGCGCCGTAACTGCGCCGTAACTGCGCTGTATCTGCGCTGTAACTGCGCCGTAACTGCGCCGTAACTGCGCCGTAACTGCGCTGTATCTGCGCTGTAACTGCGCCGTAACTGCGCCGTAACTGCGCCGTAACTGCGCTGTATCTGCGCTGTAACTGCGCCGTAACTGCGCCGTAACTGCGCCGTAACTGCGCTGTATCTGCGCTGTAACTGCGCCGTAACTGCGCCGTAACTGCGCCGTAACTGCGCTGTATCTGCGCTGTAACTGCGCCGTAACTGCGCCGTAACTGCGCTGTATCTGCGCTGTAACTGCGCTGTAACTGCGCCATTACTGCACTGTAACTGCGCGTATATTTCACACACAGTTTACGCTGTTATGTTTACATCATTTCAGAATAAAATGATGGTGCTTCTACTGATCGGTTGCCGCATTTTTGCTGTTTAATATTCAGTTAAATAAATAAGATATTTGTAAGATATAAAATATTTGTAAGATATAACATATATGTAAAATTACCAAGTATTAAGCAACTTAATTCTTATTTAATTATTGGGTAAACTGTTTCATAAAGTGCAAAGGTTAAGACAGATGTATTAGCAGCTGCTTCTTGACAAGACTGTTGATAACTAGGCTAATAACAATTGATAACAGCTGGTAACAGCTGACAACAGCTGGTTATGAAGATAACAGCAGCCCTGCAGCAGCTGTTGATATAACAGCCGTTACTGCCTTCAGCGTTGCTGTTACAAGTGTAACTCTTGTTTTTGTTGTTGTCAGGAGAAGTTTTAATATAACTAATTATATCATATAACTTATATTAAAGTATAAAATATTTATCTATGACAAACATATAAGGAGGCAGGAAATTGTTGTTGTTGTCGCTGCCGCCGCTGCTGCTTGTGCTGCCAGGGTCACCGGGTACGCCGCCTCTGACTGTGCTTAGCAAGGTCGCCCTCCCCTCCCACCTCCCCTCCTCTCCCTCTCTCTTCTTATTAGTTCTCAAACCCTTCTTTTCCCTCCCTCTTTTTCCCTTCCTCCTTTTCCCTCCCTCCTTCTCCCTCCCTCCTTATCCCTCTCTCCCTCTCTCCTTTTCCCTCCCTGCTTTTCACTCCTTTCTTAAGCCCTTCCATCTTTTTCCTATCTTCTTTTCTCTCCATTCTCTCCCTCCCTGATTTTCCCTCACTCCTTTTCCCGCCATCCTTCTCACTCCCTCTCTGCTTATCTTCCTTCCTCCACACAATTCTCTTCTTATTTCAACGCTCTCTTCTTTTTGCTCTCTTCGTTCTTCATTTCTCTTTTTCTTTTTTCTTAACTACTATTTTTCTTCGCTCTTCATTTCTCTTGTTCATCGTACCCTCTTTTTGTGTACCCACATTGCCCGTTTCCTAGGCTATTCCCCTTTATCTATGCGACATCGATAATTTTTTTCGTGGAATAATCCCCCAGTTCCCCAGCCTAATCCCCATGAATTACGTGGAAACCATTCCCCTCTTTCTTCTCGTCTCCCTCCTTTTAACTCCATTCTTCTCCCTCCCTGCTTTTCCCTCCGTGCTTTTCACTCCTTTCTTAACCCCTTCCTTCTTTTTCCTATCTTCTTTTAATTCCCTCCATCCTCTACCCTCCCTGATTTTCCTTCACTCTTTTCCCTCCATCCTTCTCACTCCCTCTCTGCCTATCTTTCTTCCTCCACATAATTCTCTTCTTATTTTAAACGCTCTCCTCTTTTTGCTCTCTTCCCTTCTCATTTATCTTAACTTCTCTTTTTATTCGCTCTTCATTTCTCTTTTTCTTCGTACCCTCTTTTTGTGCACCCGCATTGCCCTTTTTCTTGGCTATTCCCCTTTATCCATGCGACATCGATAATTTTTTTCGTGGAATAATCCCCCAGTTCCCCAGCCTAATCCCCATGAATTACGTGGAAACCATTCCCCTCTTTCTTCTCGGTTGCGATGAAGGAATTCTTGTCCCCATCCCTCCCCTCATCCGAGGGAACGCTGCCAACTCCTCCCCACCCCTGAGCAAGCAGACGTTTCTTCCCCTCACTTCTCCCCTTCACTTCATCCTCTTACTTCTTTCCCTCACTTCTTCCCCTCACTTCTTTCCCTTACTTATTTCCCTCACTTCTTCCCCTCACTTTTTTCTCTCACCTCTCCCTCTCACTTCTTCACCTGACTTTTTCCCCTAATTTCTTCCCTCGCATCTTCCCCTCACTTCCTCCCCTCACTTCTTGCACTCACTCCATCTTTCCCTCCCTTTTTGCCCTTCATTTTTCAACCTCAGTTCTTCCCCTCATTTTCTCAATTTACTTCCTTTCACTTCTCCCCCTTACTTTCCCTCAACTTTTCTCTTTAATTATTCCCCATCTTTACTTCCCCACACTCCCTTTCCTCACTTTTCTCTCCTCTCTCACCTTATTCACCTTTTCCCACTCTCTTTCCCCTCACATCTTCCTTCTCTATTCTCTCCCTCCATTCTTCCCCCTCACTTCCCCACCACGTGGGGTTGGCCGGTAGCCCCTCGTGCTGCCCGCGTCCCCAAGTGCAAGGTCTGGGGGGGAACCCCTCCCTTCCCCTCCCCCCCCGTGGGGAATTTAGCCATCCGTTGGGCGCCTATAACTCGCCTAAAATATCAATGCAGAAAATATTCTTTTATTTAAATATTGCACATTTGGCCCTATTTTGAAAATATTTCCGTCATGAAAGATTTTTTATTTCAGTCATTCATTGTCTTGTTGCTTTATTTTTGTTTATTGGAGTTTTATTTTGCGCCATTCTGATAAAATTTCTTTTCATTTTGATTGAACGAGTTAACAAAATATCATGATAAATGAATTTTGAATGAATGGTTTTTATGATGCATCAGCTCACAAGTTCATGAATTAATTTCGATAAGTTGATTCTAATTAAAAATTGATATCATTAAAGCATGTTTTTAATCATATTTGACTAACTAAATTAAATTCTTAATGATACAATTTACGTACAATTACATTCAATACGAATGTAAAGTATGCAAAAAACAACTATTCACAATGCAACATTTTTATCACAAAAGCTGGATGTAGAACAGCCTGTTATGGTGTCAAGGTCAGCAGGAGTTTATTCTTTCAATTGTCAAGGTCATCACGAAAGGTCACTTGATTCTCGTTAACGACTTTGTTAACGCTGAACGCTCGGCCATGACTCAGCAAAAAACTTCGACCCTAAATCTCTACTCAGAGAATTTAATACGTCATCTTGTCCGAGGGCTGGCACACTTTGTTAACGTAGCACTAATATGCCTTATAGTCGGTGAAAACTGGGTCAAGATGACCCACATAAGCTCAAGAAATGCATCACTATTCGGATAAAATCCATCTAATTTATTCTAGAAACTTTAAAAAAATTCTAGAATGAGAAGAACAAGAAATAAGAACTAAGAAATAAGAACTAAGAACTAAAAATAAGAAATAAGAACTCTGGAAACATTATGTTACATTCTAGAATAAATTTTAGCCATAAGTCAATATTCGTATAGCCAATTTTTAGTCCTCGTTCAACTAGTTATGCTACAAAAACATAAGTTTCCCGTTTTTAATAGTAAAATTTCTCTCGCAGAGTGCCTTTACCTTGCCTAGTAATATAGTAAACTAGACTTCATAGGGAGAAGGAAAGCCTTCAACCGTTAACTAGTTGTCATAGAGAAGAGCGCTAGTTCTAGAGCAACTAGCGTCAAACCTAGAGCTGAAGTTATTGGATAAAAACAAGTAATTGCAGCAAAACAATCCAGCAAAGATTGCAACAAGGATGATTGTGCCCAATCTCGGACTTAACACTGCATTTCCCTAGATGGCTCTATACAAAGCCAAAACATACAACAGATCTAACACGTCTGATCCTCAGGATCCAGAAGAAAGATCAACCACTCCTTCACTATCAGCTGAAGAAGGAACTGCTGATCATGAAGTCGTCTCTACCCCTTCTGAAGGGCAAGCTTCAGAAGCTTCAGCATCAGCCACTTCAGAAGACAACGTTTCTTCGGTTGACACTTCAACAGCTTCAGATGGTACAGCAGAAAAACCAGCTTTGGAATCTAAATCTGCTGAAGACGTCAAAGAAGAGACCACTTGTGCACCAAATCAGAGGAAAATCGTTATGCATGAAACCTTTGAGGATGTAGGCAAGGAATCACCTTCAGAATCCGAAAAGATGGATTATAACGACAGTGTGGAGCCTGAAGCCACTGAAGAAGAAATGTCTGAAGCATCATCCAAGCCTTCTACCTCAACCACGAGTGGAATATCATCAAAAGGAGGTAATGCGAAGTCATCTTTGACATCGACATCTTTATCTTCTTATCCTTCAAGTCCTTCGCCTGGCTCCTCATCCACGCTGTCACTATCACCAGCATCTCTACATCAGCCCTCTTCTTCCTCATCTTCTTCCCCTTCTCTTGCTGGGGCTCCAGCCCCAGTTGATCAAACTTTGGTCGCTTCTGCAAGTGGTTCAGTTTCAGGTTGCATTCCCAAGACTTCAAATCCTGCGATATCCCGAGGGAGTGTCATTCCTCCTGCCCCTAAACCCCCTACCTTCATGCAGGTTCATTACGACAGTTCTCTGAGACGAGACACTACCGTCGCGACCATGCGTTCCTCGTCAGCGCCATCGTCGGTTCTGGTCACAGGTTCACCCAGAAAAGATAGTCGAACACCAACGCCTACCCTTAGCGCTGACATTCCATCACAGACTACCAACGCATCTCCGATCAAAATACGTACTTTTTCAATTCTAAACGCAAATGAAAACAACAGCGTGCAAACTTCCCAAAGTCCTTCGTCGAATGATTCCGTGATCCGGTCACATCAGGTAAGAGTGGTTGATTGTAAGCGTTTAAAAACCTTCGACCCGGCGTTGATTGAAGAGGCTACCACTTCGACAGGTTCAGCCAAGCTGAAAATGCGGCCTCCTAGCCAACACGCGTACCATCTTCAGCACCAGCAACATCAACATGGTCCCGCTTCTCAGCCACAACACTCGCAGGAAACAAAGTTTAGAGATCAGAATCAATCCCAACTTCGTCATGCCCTCTCTCCTCAGCAGCCGATACCTTTACGTCACCCATCTTTTTCGCCCCAACATTCCCAACTACGACAGAAGCTCCTATCCCCATCAACCAAACAACAACCCCACCAGGTTCACCATCAACAGTTTCATCATACCATCATACAGGGTTCTAGTAAGACAACTGCGGTGATGCCGAACGTGGTTCAACCTAGGGTACCACCTACAATGCAAGTTAACCTCGCCCCAACCGTTACTTCAACTTGGTCTACAACCACGGCACCAACGATGGTTCCCAGCGTGTCCCCTACCATGACACCTACTCATCCTAACAAAGTTTCTCCAATTTTTGGACAAACTGGTAGATCTCCAACTCTGCTGACTCCTCACATCCGTACAGCAGCGGCACGGAAGGAGATTGTGGATCCAGGCTCTGGCAAATCCTACTACATGTCAAGCGGCGCCTCTCCCTACAACGGACACAGTGAGTAACTTTGTTCAGAAATTCAACTATCATATTATAACCATTCAATCTCGTAAAAGTAATTTAATTGCTATTAATTGGAGTATATAAGATCTAATAGCGTTAATACCAGTGGCAAGGATGTAATTTATTGACTGAATAATTATTCGGAATTATTCCAATCTTGTCGGTAGGATTCTCTTGTAGATTTTTAGGATTCTTGTCGGTAGGTTTTACTAAACTGCTGTTAAGCTGCATAAATATCCTTTATAATCCTGGAGGAAGCTTGACTCTATCATTAAATAGTGATTTGCAATTGTATGATTCATATAGCTTTGATATTCAAGTTACAATGTTTAGATTTTTGTATGACGTCACGTAAAGGAAAAATGACAGACCAGTGGACAATTTCGACAGTGGTACCATCAGTGGGAAGATTGAGTTATACGTACATGGGTCATGCGCACATGGGTCATGCGTACATGGGTCACGCGTGCGAAAGTCATGCGTACGTCATGCGTGCGTTAGTCATGCGTACATGGGTCATGCGTACGTGAGTCATGCGTGCGTAAGTCATGCGCACATGGGTCATGCGTACGTGAGTCATGCGTGTGTACGTAAGCCATGCGTGCGTTAGTCATGCGTACATGGGTCACGCGTTTACGGTTCAAGCGTACTTTGGAATTTCATGCGCACATACAGTANTTCACTCCCACTCCTGCACTCCCACTCCTTCACTCCCACTCTTTCACTCCCACTCCTTCACTCCCACTCCTTCACTCGATCCCACTCCTTCACTCCCACTCCCACTCCTTCACTCCCACTCCCACTCTTTCACTCCCACTCCCACTCCTTCACTCCCACTCCTTCACTCCCTCTCCCACTCCTTCAAACCCACTCACTCTCCCTCACGTCCTCTCAATCCCACTCACTCTCCCTCATACCATCACTCTCGCTCCAATCAATCCTCCCCACTCCCTCACAATCTCTGACATAACCGATCACTCCCACTCCCTCTGCTTCCCTCCCATTCCCTTCTCCTCACTCCCCTCCACTCCCAGGCAGTCCTCCCCACTCTCCCCACTCACTTCACTCCCCCTCACTCCACTTAAAACCCCTATTCTCCCTCCCCAAAAGACGTTGAATAAACGATAACTTTAACGTTGGTCTGTTGAATAAACGTTAATTAAACGTCGCTTCAACCTCATTTTCTTCATCAAATTCTCCCTATAGTCTCCCCCTGTCCCTCCCACTGCCCATCACTTCACCTCGACTTTGTCACTCTAATTTCACCTCATTCGCTTTTATTTCAACTCGTTCGTTCTAATTTTACATAACTCGCTTTAATTTCATCTCAGTCGCTCAAATTTCAACTCAGTCGTTCTAATTTCAATTCAGTCACTCAAATTTCGACACAGTCGCTCAAATTTCAACTCAGTCGCTTTAATTTCAACTCAACCGCTCTAATTTCAACTCAGTCGCTCTAATTTCACATCAGTCGCTCAATTTTTGAACTCAGTCGCTCAATTTTTGAACTCAGTCGCTCTAATTTCAACTCGGTCGCTCTAATTTCAACTCGGTCGCTCTATTTTCAACTTGGTCACATCTAAGTAAAAAGCTTGCAATTAAAAAACACAGGCTTTTAAAGATGGTAGACGCATATACTCAGTACGCATGATGCGCCTGCCAATACGCATGATGCGCATCCCAATACGCATGATGCGCGTCCCAGTATATAAATGCGCATACCTATAATCAAATACATATATGCGTGCGTCTCCGTACGCTTAACTAGCTGTGTTCCAATACGCACACGTTCGGAACGATACGCACACGTTCGTAAAGATACGCACGGTGCTACTCAATGTTTAATTTTTACGCCGGAAATCGCGACTCTGCGGCGTGGAGTGAAGTTTGGCTTGCGTTTGCCGTGGATTTTTTAACGTTCATTTTCGTATTATTTTGTGCGACAGAAAAAAAATTCTTAAAATTTAATAAAAAATTAAGACGATTTGAATGCCCCTATAGGATGATAGTGATCATTATACGCGTGCGTGCGGTGATAGTGATCACAATCTGTACGCATGACATGACAGCGAGTGAAAGCGTGTATATTTCATTCATAATGTATTATTTATTTCTGATCTTAATGTTCGTGCGCTAGTTTGGGTGTGTTTTTCTTTTTCTTGACGATATTATTTACGTATTTGTGTGAGCGATTGTGCGTTTAATGTGTTTTGTTGATGATATTTATTCTCAGTGTTTTAAGTGTTTGTTTTTGTCTGTATATATTCTTGTATTTATTTGTTTTGTACGCATGTTGCTGCTATATATAAGGGTTAATATTAAGCGCGTATTCAGTATATATAACGTGTCGGGAAACCGGGACCTGACATTGTATTTTATGAGGGGGATGAGGGAGAATTAATACTTTCTGTATGGTTCAAATTATTAATTTGAAATTTCATTCAATAAACCGAATTAATATTTCATGTGCGTTTGAAAATGTGTGTTGTTTGGGACCTCAATATATATCTTAGTCATGGGTTTGAAAGAAGCCTGCTTAAAGTGGTTATATAATTACCGGTAATCGTGGTAACGAGATTACTGAATACCGGAGACGGCAGGATTTCTGGTTGCAAGTTATATTTATGAACTGGCTTTTCTTCCAATAATAACAGTTCTTAGTAATCTTTATCCTAGCGCTAGGTTGATCGTAACTTGTATGATGAACATTCACTATCTTCAATGTACGAATTTGTATCGTCACTGTCGTACAGATATGACTTTATATGGTCACGTTCACAATGTTACGACATCGTACGGTCGCCGCCGCATCGTATTGGCTTGCGTAAGTCGTTACCGCCGCCGCCGGAAGGTCAGCGCGCGTGCAGTGCGGTCATGACGTCACTTTAATTAGGCGTGGTTGGCAGTTGCACTTCGGCCCCGCAACGTCATCCTTTACACCGCCAATCATTCATGCAAACGCTCGTCAAGTCCCGCCTTTATCCACTCATTACGTCACCATTCAAAACCACAACGTCAGATATGTTGCAGCCAATCAGCGCGCTGCTGGAATCCTTAAAAATCCTAACCCCGCCTTTAAAGTTTCCACTACGTGACGTCACGGCTCAGGTCGACCAATCAGCGCGTAGCGTTCGAGACTGCCCCTCCCACTCATTATGACGTAATGCTTCCACTTCGGTGACGTGGATTTTGAAAGGACCAATGGGAAGGCAGCGTTGCCCCTTGCACCGCCCTTTAATGAGTGGAGGAAGAGTGCTTGAGAACAACCAAGGCGCCTGCGAAAGGGTTAATGTTGTGCTTGGTGCGTCGCGTGGAAGATAGCTTGTGTGTGACTCAAGCCTTTGCTTGAGCCTTACTCACTTACGAGTGACGTAACTTTCTCGTGGATAAAATTTCTTATGGCTTTTTGTTTTGTTGCGTTCAGTGAGCGGTGTGAGTTAAGGAGAAAGGATTGTTTATAATTTAATGTGACTGGGTTGGGAAAATTGCCACTTATTTACTGGAAATCGTGTTTGTGATTGATTTAATTTTCATTTATGTGACAAAAATTGCAGTGTATCTTATTCTAAACATTAATTAAACAAGCATTGGTTGTTACAAACGACCTCAACTGACCTCTGACAAGGCTCTTAAAATTTTAACCCCCTTCTTGTTTCAACTGAAATTTGTATGTGTTCGGCTTCAGGCGAATGAATGACTAACACCTGCCGTGTTTGACCGTTACTCACACGTTCATCCGACGACTTACTGTTTACACTTAAATAATTAATACACGATGAATATTTAATACACGATGAATACCGTATATACTATGAATTCTAATGCACTTATTAGTTTTCACTAAAATTAAGGCAATTTTTGACTGTGTCGAATGCTTTTTCAAACATGGTTGATTGAATTTAAATTCAGTGTTTGGTTTATTTGGTAACAGATTATCGACGTAAATTGATAAAATCCGGCAAAGTATAGTCAAGTGAGAAAATTTAATCTAAATCGATTTATAATCAATGTTCTTTGAAACTATCGATACGATAGTTTCTAAACTAATTGTTCGTATCATCTTAACTTAACAAATTATTCACATTCATTTTATTGAAATGTCTTGAAACCATTCAAGTGGTCAACGATTCACGAGAAATTAATCAAATTACAGAAATTGCTAATTATATTTGATAACTACGCCTGATTATTTTAACCTATTTCCCAATAATTTCGCTACAATGATGTGTACGTACAATAAAGGCCGGCGTGCGTACAGTGAATGAACAATGAACCATGCAAGTCATTGTTTCTGATAAACATGATTTCTTTTATCATCCAGTTATCAGCATCATTCAACAAACTGTCATTTTCCCATTACCATCAGTAATATCATCATCAAGTTATTCACCAAAAAAGTTCCCACTACCATCATTTATATCATCATCAAGTTACTCATCAAGTTACCACTACCATCAGTTATTTCATCATCAAGTTACTCATCAAGTTACCACTACTATCATTAATATCATCATCAAGTTACTCAACAAGTTACCACTACCATCAGTTATATCATCATCAAGTTGCTCGCCAAGTTACCACTAACATCAGCTATACCATCAAGTTACTCACTAATTAAGTTACCAATACCATCAGCTATACCATCAAGTTACTCATCAAGTTACCACTACCATCAGTTATACCATCATCAAGTTACTCGCCAAGTTACCACTACTATCATTTATATCATCATCAAGTTACTCAACAAGTTACCACTACCATCAGTTATATCATCATCAAGTTACTCGCCAAGTTACCACTAACATCAGTTATTTCATCATCAAATTACTCAACAAGTTACCACTACTATCAAACCCTCCACTAAGTTTTCGCCATCTGATTACCCACAAAGTTACCGTCATCACCAAGATCCCTACTAAGTTACCATCATCAGGTTACACACTAAGTTACTGTCAAAAAGTTACCCTCAAGGTCACTGTCATCAAGTTACTCTC